AAGGAGGGAAGGAGAGGAGGGAGGAAGGAAGGAAGGGAGGAAGAAAGGAGGGGAGGGAGGGAGGGAGGGAGGGAAGGAGGAAAGGAAGGAAGGAAGGGAGGAAGGAAGGAGGGAGGGAGGGAGGGGTGAAGGAAGGGAAGGCTCCTTTATCTGCTGCCAAGTTGTATTAACTTCTATCTCTCCTGGGACCATGTGGCCAGCAGTCCCCTCTCCCAGAGGTGGTGGCCCAGTACTGTGCACCCTGACCTCTCGGAACCCCAGGAAAACCACAGGGGAGCCTCTCAGGACAGCAGTGGCAACGGCCCAGCCATGAACAGAGCTGCCTTTCTAATATCCCTAACTCTCCCCAGGATCACACACTGTTCTAGAAAGCACTGCCAGAACCCAGCAGAGGGGACAGGACACGGAGTCACCATGATGTGACTTCCACTAGGAATGGAAACTGTCTGGAGCCAGAATACAAGGACCACGGCGTGGAGGCAGGGGGAGGCTGGGCGTGGGGGCGAGGTCCAACTGTGAGTGCCTCCCAGAGGGGCCGGGAGAGGGTGAGCCAGGGAGAGAATAGCAAGAAGAGAGCGCAGCACAGGTGGTGGTCACTGCCCTTCTGTGGCTCCTGTCGTCCCTTCCAGTGACCCCTGAAATCAGTTGGGCAGAAAAGGGTCTGCCGGAAGACAACACATCACAGGGTCCCTTGCCGCCTGGTGTGGCACGTGACTGCATTCCAACCAATGAGATATGGGAGCTGGAGAGGGTCTTTGCTGAAAGATCATTAAGAGACGGGCCAGGGTGTGGTTTAGAGCACTTGCCTAGTGTGCTTGAAGCACTGGGTTTAATCCTCAAAAACATACATTCAAAAACAAAACAGAGTTCAGAGCTGGTGAAAGCCCTTTCTAACCATTTCTTCTTACTTTCTGCCTGAGATGGAGGCATGATCACTGGAGCCCCAGCAATTATTCTGAGCTATGAAGTAACCCCAAGGTTAGAGGTCAGAACTTAGGAAGGCAGATCAAAGAGATATTTGTCCTTGATCCCAAGCCAGCAGCACTAGCCCAAAGATGCCTGGTGGCTTAACCCTTTATCTGCCCCAAGAAAAATGCATTTAGATTTCTACCCCTATTCAGAACTTGATGCCCACTCTAGACTGTCCCCAGCATCCTCCCGGCTCTGTCAGTGCACCATTGTCCCCAGTTTCTAGCCAGGAAAGTGTGTCACTCTTCATTCTTCGTTCTCATCTGCACACCCTTCCAGCTGAACCTCTGGATGTATCTCTAATCCAGACGGGATGCTTGTTCCACTGCGGCCAGTCTCGGCCAGTCGCCGCAGTCCCCTCGCGCCCGGGTCTCCAGGCTTCCCCTGCGGCAGCCTCAGTGAAGTTTAGAGTATCAATCTGCTCACGCCTGTGTCCCGTGGCTTCCTACCGGACTTAGAGAAAGTGCCCTGCTGACCCCAAGGCCTGCCCCTCACCCTCGCCTCTGCGGGCTGAGCCACGGTGCCGAGCCTGGGGTCAAGGGACTCATGCGCATGCGGGAGGAGAAGGGACACAGACCAGAGACGACACAGCACTGGCCCCAGCCCTGCCCCAGAAGCCCCTAGAAGGACAGTGACAGGCCCTCCTCTCTCCTTGGCCACCTGCACTCCCTTCTCCCTCCCCCTCTAGCAGGAGAGCCTTCCTGATTCCTCCAACCCCCCACCTAAGGGGGTCCCTGGGTACTTTCACTCACAGCCGATGGTGTGTGCCTCAGCTGCTGTTGTAGTCAACACTGGGACCAAAAGAGGAGGAAAAGTTTGTCACTCACAGTTTCAGAGGTCTCAGTCTGGAGACAGCAGATTCCATCCCTTAGGGCTCAAGGTGAGGAGACTATCATGGCAGAAGAGTGTGGCAGAGGGAAGCGGCTCAGGACGTGGCCACCATGAAGCAGAGAGCTCTCACCATGACAAAATCTATTCCCAAAGCCATGTCCCCAATGCCCACCTCCTCCAGCCACACCCCCACCTGCCTCAGTCACCACCCAGTTGATCCCAACAGGGGACTAATCCACTGATTAGGTTAAGACTCTCACCACACAATCACTTCTCTCTGAACCTTCTTGAACTGTCTCACACCTGAGCTTCTGGGGGACACCTCACCTCCAGACAGTAACAGCTGGGAAGCCCGGATTGCTGATTCTGCCAATTGCTGATTCTGCAAATGCTCCTACCACAGCTAATGTCAAGTGGCCAGTGTGACATCATTGAACTCCGAGCTGTGTGCAAGCAGGTCTTGTTAACCATGTGAGCCAACTGCATGCATTGTGGTGACCCTGCAGTACACGGTGAGCATGCAAACCGAGATGGATGGTGTACATTTACCTTCTTAATGTCACTGTTCCCACGCTCGGTGAGGAGTCCACTACATTCCTGGGGCTAGCACAGCGTCTAGCTCATCACAGACTCCAGCGGAGAGGGAAATCAGGGGGAGAGGCCTGGATGTCAGCTTTCTCCTGGTGCCCCGCAGGCTCCTACAGGGAAGCGCTGCTGATGTCGAAGAACTGGCTCACAGGGCTGCCTGTCTGCAGGGCGGCCTGCAAGCTGGAGCCTCTCAGGCAGAAGCTCCTCTTCTCAGGGAAGCTTCAGTATTGTTCTTCAGGCCTTCGACTGCTCAGATGAGGCCCACCAACATCATGCACAATCTCCTGGGCTTATCAACAGACAGTGATGTTAACCACAGCTACAAAGTATCCTCCCAGCAGCACCTGGATTCCTGTGGGTGAGTAAATGGGGCTGGCCCCTGGCCGAGCAGACCCCTGACACTGACAGCACAGCAGTCTAAGAGGGTTCTTGCCTCTCTCTGAGGTCCCCACTGGTGTGATTTCTCCACAGCCTTGGTCACTGTCTTCGGAGTGAGATTGGGGTGGCCAGTCTCCTCACCCAGAGCAGGGAGCTGGCCTGTGCAGTCAGAGCCCACTCTTTCCTGGCTCCTTAGCTGCCTGGCAGGAGCAGGTCACCCGGCTGCAGGATCCTAGGGCCTGGGCTCAGATCCAGCTGGGAGCCGCTGGCCGAGTGTGCGCATGGGCTCGTGTCCATAGCCCAGAATGGAAGGCGCGTGGGACAGCACCGGGGGCCCATGGGAAGTGGAGAGCTCTCCAGCACTGGCCCTCTCAGCCCACTTGGCACTGAGACCTCCTTTCCCTCCCTCGTTGGCCCTTCCTCCCCTCCCCATCAGATGGCCCCTGTCCAGCCCTCCCAGGAGTCCTTCCCCTGCCCTAGCCCCCTCCCCCCTGCCCCAAGGACTCCGGCTCTGCTCATTCTATAGGGATGCAGGAATAGACCACAAGGGACAAAAAAGGCAAAGCCCATGTTCAGGACTCCAGGGGCATTGTCCCCACTCATGGCCCCCACCCAAGGTGACCGTGGGCCTGTGGGGCTTCTCCTTCTGTGGCCCAGAGCTTGTCACGTCAGGTGACCAGTGGGGTGAAGGAGCCATCCTTCCCTCTGTCCCCCGGTCTCTCGGCTGGCACGACTGAGTGTCCTCACCAGGACCCCCCATCTTCCTGGGTGCTGGGCCTCCTTCTCAGGGTCAGCTCTGGGGATTCTGTGCCCCGGAGCTCAAGTCTGGGAGAGAAAGGGGGCTACCTCCTGGAGCAGGGGAGGCTCAGCCCTCGGTGTGGCTGGGAGGAGAGAAGGAGGCGCAGGGAGACGGCGCGTCCTGCCCAACGTCACCCCGTGGGGGCAGCATCAGGCTCAGCCCTGACTCCCAGGGCACTGGCTCAGTGCCTGACCCCAAGAGGGGTCTGCCGCTGGCGGTCACGCTCTGGACCCTCCACCCACTGGTGCTGGCCCAGTGCTGGGGAAACTGGAGGGGTCGGGGCGGTGCCTCCTGGGTTCTTCTCGCCTTGGTGAGCAGAGGGAGCCAATCATGGCCAGCGGGCAGCCCCTGAAAGCCCCGCCCCTGCAGAGCTGCTCGCAGCCCACCCAGGGACACCAGGGGAATGGCAGATGGCTGCCCCTTCCTGCTTCACACACCCCTTCTTTATCACCTCGACGGCGAAGAGGAACTGGTGCTATGCCCACTGCGCAAATGAGGAGACTGAGGTCCTCAGGTGCCCAATGTCACCCACAGGGCAAGTGGCAAAGATAGGTCTTCGATCATATGCACAGATGCTTTGCAGAAGCTCATCCCAAGGCTCTCAAAAGTGGTCCAATTCCAGGGGACTTGGGAATCTACAACCACGCTCTTAACCAGAATTCCATCTTGCCCTGGAGAACAGTCACCATGGACGGGACAGTTTTTCTCTGCCCACCAGATCCTTGGCTCATGGTAAACACAGCCTGGCACCTAGAACTGCCATCAGTTCCCTTGACTCTGGTCAAGAGTCAGCCCTCCAGAGTGGGGTAGAGGGGCCCTCTGGGAGCTGGGATGGGGGGCTGCCCAGGTGGGCTGGGCAGCCAGGAGCCTCCAGGTAGTGGCTGCCTCCCTGTGCCCCACTCCCCTCCCTCAGAGCTCCTGCCAGGCTGCAGCCGTTCCTGCCGGGACTCAACCTGGGCCACAGCTGCTGAGCCAATGTGGACCCAGACGGCGACGGGGTGCACGCGGGCCCTGTGGGTGCACCCACTTCCAGGAACTGAAGGTGGTGCTGATAACAGAGCTCCCAGCCTGGACCTGCCCAGGATGGAGACCTCAACACCCCAACTGCCTCGGGAGCCCACCACTCAGCCTGGCTCACCTGGAGAGGCTCGAGCAGAGTGGGGCTCGGGGGAGTCACAGATGTTGGTGGCTGAGCCTCTTCTCTCTGGATCTTCTGCTCCTTGGTGTCACTGTGGTTGTGCAGAGCTGGCCATCTGCACCACGCAGAGTGCGTCACAGGTTGAAGCTCATTTAATGCTTAGGACAACCCCACCAGGCAGCTCCTACTAACACAGATAAGGAAACCGAGGGCCGAGAGCTGAAGGGACTTGCCTTAGGTCATGCACAGAGTGACCGGGGAGCCAGGCCTCGGGTCCAGGCAGTCTGGCTCTGGGGAAGGCCCCTTCCTCTTTGAGCCTCTGCTTCTTTGTCCACAAGATGGACGAAAGATGCCTCCCTACCTGGTTCCCAAGGGGACAGCTCACCGGCCAGCTCCAGGTGCTGGAGATAGAGTAGGGTACAGAGGGACGAAGTCCCTGCCCGCCCTGCAGAATGGAAAGGAGCAGATACACAAGCATCTCCTGTGTCAGCTGATGAGCAGCAGCAGAGGAGGTGAGAGAACTCCGAGCAAGCTGCAGTGGCCACTCAGATGGCGCTGCCTTCCACAGAGGGAGCAGCGAGAGCCCAGCACAACACCTGCCCGGAAGGGGGTCCAGTGTGTTTGGGTTGTGAGGCTAATGTGACATCATCCTTATCTGCCAGATGCTTCTACCTGCAGTTTCTGACTTCACCCTCCCTGTGGCCTGGACGGTAGATATTAATACTCTCAGTCTACAGATGAGGAAGAGGCTCTGAGGCTCAGAGAAGTTAAACAACTTGCCCGGAGTCACCCAGCTGATACATGGGACAACCTGAATTCAAAGAACCCTCCTGATTCTTAGAGCAGGGCCTCCTCGTCATGAGGGAGTACAACATGTTGTAGAATTTAGACATAATGAGTTCTTATGAGTCTGGATTCAGGTCATAATGATGTCGTGTCAGAGGAGTTGAAGGATCTTTTGGGCCCTGGTCCAACCTTGTTCTAGGCCTTGTCCCAGAGCCGTGGGCCAGTGGTAGTATGAATGGGACCATGAGATGAATAAGCTGTGGGTGTCTCTGCCAGTCCCAAGAGCAGGAAGGCCAGTGATGCTCTGGGGTGCCCTGACAAGGTGCAGGTGGGCCGCTCTTTAGGAGGGCAGGGCAGGGCAGGGCATAACCACGTTCCAGTTCTGGGCCTGCCACTCCCATGCTGTGTGACTTAGGACAAGGCCCTGGTCTCTCTGGATATTGGGAAACTCTGTGGGGTGAGCTGCCTGGAGTGGGGCCCTCATATCTGGACAGGGCAGTCCCTCAGGTAGTAGGAGGCAGGGCACTCACTGTCCCCACTACTGTGTGTCCATTGGTGGGGGGCCCTCACAGGGACAGCTCAACCTGACTTTCCTGCCTGCACCCTGGGAGGTGCCCAGCAGTGATCCTGGAGAAAGCCCCCACTTTTTTTTTTTTTTTTTTGGTACTTGGGGATTGAACCCAGAGGCACTTTACCACTGAGCCATATCTCTGGACACCCTTTTCTGTTATTTTAATTTTAATTTTTAAATTTTGAGACAAGGTCTTGCTAAGTCACTGAGGCTGGTCTTGACCTTGTGATCCTCCTGCCTCAGCTTCCTGAGTTGCTGGCATTGCAAATGTGTGACACTATATCGAGCAGGCTGCAGCCTTCTGGGTCATCACAACAGCCACAGGAATGAAGCCAAACAGGTTTTGGGGCCCAAAACCTGTCCTTGACTCCTAACCCTGCCACCAGCCAGCTGTGTGACTTTGCCCAAGTCAGCCTCTCTGAAACTCAGTTTCCTTATCCGTAAAATGGGGGACACATTTATGAGGAACACAGCACGGTGTCTATGAGCTGCTCACTCAATGATCAGCTGGCTGTTGAAGCTGGAAATAAGAAGCTGAGGATGTTGAAGGTGTCACATAAGCATGACCACCTCTGAGCTCCAGCTATGGGTCAGAGCATGTAGCACCAAGTAGGTGCTCGGTGCCCTTGAGTGGGCCAATCTATCCACCTACCTACCTGTCTCCCTAGGAGAACGGTGCACCGGCTAACGTTCCAAAGCACAGCTGGCCGGATGCTGCAGGGTCACTGGCTGGGTTKGCACTCAGGAAACACTCCTTTCTGTATTTTAATTTTGAATCATGTGGTTATTTTACCTGTTTGAAGCTTAAATTAGAATCAGACTCAGTGATTTATCATTTGATCCTCAAAGTGGCTACCAGAGCTCAATCCCCACCCTCCTGACAGAGGAGGAGAAGAAAGGGGAGTGGCTTGCTCCAGGTCACAGCAAGAGTGAGGCAGACCTGGGTTCCAGGGACAGCTCTCTGGCTGCTGGAGAGGAGGAGCCTGGGCCGCTCCTGCGGGCCTGGCTCGGGCAGCCCCAGCAAGTGGCCCCGGTCTGTCTGGCAGGTTTCCCTGGCTCCATCTGAGAACCTGCCCCACAGGCCTCTGCTCTGCAGGGGTAAGGAATAAAAATAGCTAGGCGGAGAGGCCACGGCTGGGCTGTGGGCAGCAGCGCGTGCCTTTCCCATGACTTGGTGCCACAGAGGAGCGTCCTTCCCTAAGCCACCCTGGGTGCCAGGCCCTGGGCTGGACGCCCAGAAACCCCACCCAGAGGGACTTGCAGCCTGATGGGTGGGACAGATGCTTCCAGGGGCAGCACCTGGAAGGGGGCCTGAGAGGGGTAGCAGTAAGCAAGCGAGAGAGGCCTCTTACCCGCCTGGGGTGGGCACGGGAAGCTGCTGGACACAGTCACACGGAGAAAAGAAGAGTGTGGCAGAGATGGGGGGCATTCCAGCTGCAGAGGTTAGCCCAGCAGAGGTTCCTGAACACGGCCCACGGGGAAAGAGGGGCCAGCGGCTCGTGCTCCTGCAGGCGGGGGCCCGTTGGGCTAGGACACGCAGCAGCTGGGGAAGCAGGCAGACCAGGACTGGGGGGCAGTGGCCAGCCAGCCGAGGTTAGGACCAGGTGAAGGCATGACTTCTCTGACCCAAGGTCCATGACCCTGGGCTGGGGCTGGGGCTCGGTGGTGGCGCGCTTGCCTAGCTAGCACATGGGAGGCACTGGGTTGGACCCTCCGCAACACATAGAAATAAATAAATAAAACAAAGGTGTATGTGTCCATCTACAGCTAAAAAAAAGATCCATGACGTTAACCACAAAGTCCCTTTTGCCATGTGCCGTCCACATATTCCCAGGTCTGGGAGTTAGGAGGCACGCGACTTTGGGGGTCCGTATTCTCTGAGTTCACCTCATGATCAATCTTTTGCTCTGAATACTAGCCCACGGTTGGCTTTTAGGGTCCTCGGGTTAAGATACCCCCAGCTTCAATCCTGGTCTCCGAGTCCCCCTGCATGTGTCCCCCTGGGGGTCTCAGCAGGGGCCTCTCTGCTCTGAAGGTCTCTCAGGCCA